CCTAGCCATAAAAATCCATAACCCATGAGCTCAAGGTGGTTGGGTGCAGATTGTGGTGGCAATGTGCTGGGAAGTGGAGGGAGGAGGAGAAGGCTTCTTGCTGGTGGCCCTCTCTTATCCCCAGCCCTGCTGTCCCCGTGATGTTTCAGGCTTAGTGGAAGAAATAAGGAAATGAGAAATGATGAAAAATGGTAGGATGGCAGCAGGTGAACAGAATATGGTAAACTTTGCAGGATTTGCTTTCCAGTGTCTCTCGTTGGGCAAACCAACAACAGTTTGGGACAGGTGGAAGCAGTCACCTGCAAAAGAAGAAGACCCAGATGCACGGCTGGAATTTTTCTTTTATGCAACTGCATCAGAGCATGCCCTCACAGCCCAACTATATCTGGGCTCTGGTTCCATGCTGCCGGGTAAACAGGATGTTGATATAATTAGCTTTCCTGTCATCAACCCTATAGTAGCTGTAGAGTGGAAAAAACCCTCTTGGCAGTGTTGGGGCATTTCGTTATGGAAAGATCCAGTGTCTGATTTCAGCCCCCTCATTCCTTCTTCTTCCAAGCTGTAGGGGGGAGGTCCCAGAGATCTCCTGCTTCTCTTAACACTTCGCCTTCCTCACCATCTCCATTTGAATCCAGGAGAAAAGGTGTTTGGAGCTTGGCACAAGTTTAAAAAATGCCTGTGGGACAGGGGAGGAGACCGACCTGCTCATTGCCAAGGATTTATATGGGGATTTAGGGATTCTGGGGACAAGGAGCCCTGTAAATACAGGGCAGTAAATGACAAAGAAACAGTCTGCATGTCCTAAAGGAAGGACTGAGCTTTGAGTCCTTCTCCCAGGAATGCAAAACGCCCCTAACTATTGGTATGGTGACTATTGCAAGCACAGCCAGACTCATTTCAATCTGGAATGCAGCAGCAAAACCAAAGCAAAACCCATCAACCCCCTTATAACCTCGCATTCTAGGAGGATGCAAAGCAAGAGATTTGCACAACACCAAACCTTTCCCAGCTGCCCTGAGCTGGGAAAAGCAATGTGAACGAGTCTGTCCCGTGGAGACACACATCCACGTGTTCTGTGATTTTTGATTAGAGTATCCCTGCCCTGCTGATGCGCTGAGGCCTGGAGGCTGTGGGTTGGGGAGGGTTGCAGAGGTGTTTGTGTGTGTGCACGGCTTCCCAGCCGTATCCTTGGCTTGGGGCTGGGGTAAAACCAAATGGGTTTTGGTTGAGAGAGCTCCTGGGCCACAGGGAAATGTCCCAGCCCTTGGTGTGAGACCGAGTGGGGGCTGTTTGGGGTGATTTGGAGCTTTACTTCCATAGCGTGGTGGGGAAGGGGCTGATGCAAGCCAGGGTATCGCTGGGATGTGGAGTGGGGAGGATGAGGCCTTGGGTGGGCTCTGAGGACACAGGATCCCAAAATGTGGGGGCAGGCAGGGCCCTTGGGTGCTGGTGGTGCCCCCTGAGGGGCAGGGGGAGCCTCCGGGGCTCCAGGCTGAGGCCTCTGGGCCTGGCCCTGAGCAGAGCCTGGCTCCAGCCCCTCCACAGCCTATTTTCATGTATTTATACACCTCGCTAAGATCCCCCAGACATCAATAAAGCCTCCCAGTGTCTGTACAGAGCTTGTATTTCAAAGGGCGTGTTGCCCTCAGGCTCCTCACACGACTTCTCCACCGGGCGCACCACCTTGCTACCAGCACGCTGACGCCTGGCCTGGTAGGGCCGTGTGAGCAGGTTTCTTCACGAGGGGAACCATAACCCTAAACCAATGCAACTCTCGGCCTGCTGGTTGTTAACAGGCTGGTTGTACTTGTGCTGGTAGTTAACAGGGTCTTACTCAAGGCCGTGCTCTGCCATCTTCCCCTTGCTGCTGTTTAAACGTGCCTCAGGGTGCTCCACACCTCGGTGGGCTCCGAGGTCCTGCTGACCTGATTTTCAGAGGCTGTGACTGACACAGACTGCTCGCAGGGGCTGGCCTGGCCTTGGTTCACCCATGGCAGGATGGAAATGCCGTGGTTTGTGCTTTCAGCCCATGGGAGCCTGCCCTGGGCTTGCTTTTTGCCTTGTAGCCTGGGCAGAGCCTTGCCTGTGGCCCGGCCCTCCGCGAGTCCTGCCCTTCCTCCAAACACGCGGAGCTGGTTGACCTTGACAACTCAGTGCTCTCGCTCTTTATTTTCCTTGCACAGACATCCCTCGGGGCTTTCCCAAGCTAGATTAAAAACAGAGCACCCACGGATTACAAAACAGAGCTGCAGTCACATCTTTTTCCTATGCTATTTTCCTCCTCCCACCCCGACCGGCTCTCTGGAGCAGAGGCAGACCAGCTGGAGCCACTGGCACTAAAAAAGCATCCAGGACCCCAGAGCCACCCACGGCTCCTATCCAGCCAGCCAAAGACACTCGAACTGAGCTCAGGAGCTGTGAGGAGAAGCAGCAGCCAAATCCGTGGAGATTCAGGCTGGGTTGACCAGGAGGGCTCTGAAGGAGGGGATGTAGAAAGGCTTTGAAAGATTGCACCAAAAAACCCAGCTGCATGAAGCTGTGGGCAGACATGATCTTAACTGCCAGCAGAAGTTACTGTCCCAGTGGATTTTCCATCCCACCCAGTGAAACACCAGCTACAGCCATGCCCTGAGCTGCTTCAGGTAGAGTTTGGTTACTCATGGTCATCGGCATCGCCTTCTGAAAACAAGAAGGGTATCACTGGCTGCAGTCCGGGTTGGGTAGGTTGTCATCTCCTGATGGCCAAAGTCATTCCATATTGGCTGGCCAAGCATCCTGAAGTGTTCCCATATGCTGGAGAGATACGCTAGGATCAGCTCATGCTGCAAAGTACTCAGCACCACCTGATTTACTTGTCCTTTGCTTGTCTTCTTTCACATAAAGCTCTTGCTCAGCTAGAGCCTCTAGCACCTGGGAGCTGAATTTATTTTTCCCCCAGCACGTGGGCAGGGCTGGGCCCGGGCACCATGATAATCTGAGGTGAGCAGCCTTCCTTCCCTCCATTTCCAGGTCCAGGTTGTAGATGTTATCAGAGAGGTGGGGTGGTGAGGCTTCACAGGAAGGGTTTTGCCGTCTTCTTGGTTGTCTTCTCTGTGTTAAGGCTCCCTCTCCCTCCCACCCTCTGAAGCGACCACCTTCTTGCTACCTTTCTGATTACCACCTGGGGCAAGGGAGCAACCTAGGGTCCTGGTGGGCTGCCAGCCAGGTCGGTCTGAAGTCCCCTCCGTAAATAAAGCCCTTCTAGCAGAAGCACTGCAGGCCCTTCTGTGGCTTCATCTTCAGAGGTCCCGCATGAGCCAGGGCTTACAGAAACAGCCTGAATTTCAGGCCTGGGTTTGCCAAGGGCAACCCTGGCTGATGCTGTTTCTGTTTTGCTTGGGCTGCTGGCAGGCTCTCCGCAGCCTGCAGTGAGCCAGCTTCGCCCAGGGCTTGCAACGGCGGGCAGGAGATCTGAAAGCAGAGGGATTCCCCGCTCACATTACTGTTAGCTGCAGCCGGGGGTCGTGTGTATCGCTGCCAGGCAGCAGAACTGGTGGGAAATGCCTATGGTGTGGCTCAGCCGGGCTGGTTGTGTCTCTGTGGGGTGGGTCCTGCTCCCAACTTTTCCGTGTTTCGGCAGAGAAGACCTGGAGGAGCATCTCCAGCATCCAAAGGGAGCTGGTGCCTCCTTCCCTCTACATCCCATCCACTGACCATGGGAACCAGAGACCCCACGTGCCCCAGATGTCTTCAGGTCAGGTCTGGACATCTAGCAATGACCCCATGGGGGTCTGCCAGGGGAGAAACCTAGAGCTTGTGTCATGCTGCTCCTTGAATAACCTCTTCTTAGCAGTGGGTGGTGGCAGAAGTCAGACTGAGAACGGAGGTAACATGCTGCTTCACTCCTCGCACAGCCTTTCATTGCTTTTCCAGGTCCCTAAGATAATTGTTTGCCACCTTACAGGTCCAAACAGGGTTAGGTGAGGAGGAGCTGGGGCTTGGTTCTGTCTCTTCCCAGTGCTTGTATCCTCGGAGGCACAACTCAGACTTCTGGGGCAGCTCACAAAGAGATTTCTGCTCATTATAAGGTCTTTATTGCTCTCTTGTATGGCCAAGGTCTTCTGAAGGACTGACCGATCCCTCAGTGGTAAGCCCACAACCTGTGAACCCTCGTGTGGACACGCTGATGCTGGCATGGGAACTGACCTTTCCTAACGCTGAATTTAGAATCAGCTTTTAGTGTAAAGGCATAAAAAGAAGACTGCCTTCCTTCCTGGGGTGGGACTCTTTCCCCTTCGGGCACATGCTTTTGTTTGCTCGTGGGTATTAATGTTCAGGAGAGATAATGTCCCCAAAGCGATCGGTTGGCGTCATAGCGGGATAGTTTCCCTGCTGGGCTGCAGCAAAACCGGGCCCTTTTGAACATAAATGTCAGGATTGCTAAGCTCCTTAACTTCCAGTTGCATTACCCACTGGTCAGATGACTTCCACACTTCAAAGGGTGAGAGAAAGATGACGCAGGCTTGCGGTCTGCGTGCATCTCCTGGACTACCACGGCACCGCTTGCCCAAGGGTCTGAAATGCTTCACCGAGCGGATGCTGTGCCAGCCCTGGGGCTAGAAGAGGGCAACCCTGAAACAAAGCCACCCTTGGGATAAGGGAGGACAGCAGGAGAAAGGCAGGAGGGTGTTTTCAACATCTGAAGACAAGATATTTGGGCATTTCTGATGTGAAATGACTCTGCAGGCCCTTTTGGGATCTGTGTCGCCTTCACAGCTGGATTATCTTCGCTGAAACTTTCAGCTGGTGTGGCTGCAGGAAGGGTTTTGATCCTGCTCCATTCAACTGTCCACATACAAGCACCTGTGTCACCTGAAACATCCTTGGTGTCAGGGCTCCGAGGGCACTAATAAGCCTTAACAGCCCTGAGCACCTCCACCTGGGGCCTCCACCCCACCCACGGACCCAGGAGCACTATTTAAACTCAGCCTGGGGCCTTCAGACCATATTTGAGCTTTTTTTCTGGAAGAGTGGTTGTATTCAGCTAGTCCATCAGCTCCTTGTTTTCTGCTTTGAGGTTTGGTTTGTGTCTCCTGAATGTTTGCTAAACCAGAGTGAGCAAAAGAGTGCTTCCTGCAGCATCTCTGAGCGTGCATGCAGAAAAAAAAGTATGGGATTCAGCTCCTGGACTGAGATGCTAATGGTTGGAAGTATCAACAGGCCAAGCCTGGATGTCCTAAGGTAGGCATGCTGCTGTTTGAGATGTCTGAGAGCATCCTAGATTTCCACAGAGTGCTCGTTAGGACAAGGTAGACCTTTATTGCTGAAGGGGGAAGGCAGGCCGAAGGCATCTCCAAAAGCCCTAAAAGCCTGAGCACCTGGATGGAGATATTCCAGCCTGCTGTGACTGTCTCCAGCTGGAACTCCAAACTGGTCCCAAAGGGTGGCCTCCAGACCTGCCCGTTCCCAGCATCTTTTCTCTTCCAGCCTCACCTCACAACCGCTGCCCTTGGCTGTGTTGCATTACCTTGCTCCCTGTCACCATGGGGTGACACCTTCCACCTTCTCAAGGCCCTATTAAGACTTTTTTTTTTAACATCCATCTGCTTGCCCTGTTCTATGACCATCCGACATCTGTGTGGCCCATGGGGTCTTGAAACAGGAGAGCAGCCGAGGGAGGCTGGCCAGAGGACGAGCTCCTCGCCCTGTGGGGTGCGATCAGAAGCACTGGCACCCTGGCAGGTTGCCACCTGAAACTGAACCAGGGGCCACGTTCCTGTCATCAGCCGGCCTTGGCACAGCTTGCAGGTGCTCTGGGGTTTTCCAGGATGCTGGTTTCAGCTCAGGGCTTGTAATGTAAGCCTGCCCTGTAATGAATTTGGGGGTTGAGCTCCCGAAAGCAGCATGCTGTTCGTGCTGTGGCTGGTGGTTGTGAGCACTGAGAGGTTAAACTTCTGTAAGGGGGCTGACAGCAAACCCTGGGGCTTGAGGGCAATATGGTAAGTGACTCTTAGGATGGATGTAGTGGGTCTCTACTTTTTTCTATGTTGTAAAATGATTTTGAGGTTATGTGTAAGGATAACTTCACTTGATCACGCTGTCCCACTTGCTGAAAGCTTTGAGATCTCATCCACAGGAGTTTTCTGTCCACCTCTGTCACTAGCTGTCCAAACCCATCAAAACTGTCCCACATCCCATCTCTCCCCTGCCAAGCATCGCTGTGGGTGTTCTTTATATACCATTAAATTGCCCTGAGACAGTGAGGGTTGCTTCCCCAAGACCCCAAAATCTGGGGGATGCCAGGCTGCCTGTGCTAATGTTCATGTTGTTTTGGGGTTGTGGTGGCACAACCTGGAATCCTCATTTTTCCCCATCACAGATGTGCTTTTTTTGTATTATGTGTGCACCAAAGAGGTTATTTAGGTTTATTTTTGTTTCCTCCCTGCTGCCCTGGGTGACTGCTGGCTGTCCTCTTCAGGCGGAGCGTGAAGCCCTGCTGCTGCTGGAGGCGCTGCGTGAGCTGATGACGCAGGTTTCCCTGCCACCATGGGCATCTAGGAAATAAAGAAGGTGTGAGCGAGCAATCCCTTCCTCCTCCCCCTGCTTGAGGTGATTTAGTGTGGCAGCAGAGGTGGTGTCAGTATTTGCTGACGACATGCAGTGACTTTTTTTAGCAGCAGCCCTTCTCTTCCCTGCCTCGTGCAGGGCACTGTCCCCTGACCCCCCAGGAGAGCTTCAGACCCTGATTTCCTATTATAGGGTTCAGATTTGGTCCCAGAGCTGCTTTGTCCTCACCCTGAGCAAAATGAGGTTTGGTGGAGATGAGCGTGAGCTCTTACATGCACCGGGACCCAGGGTGAGGATGGGGAGCTCTCCCGATTGAAGCATCCTCCATCACGTTAAAGTTTGACATCAGAACCTTCATTTTCTCTTAATGCAGACATTTCTGGCTATGAATAACGTAATGAAAGTGAAACACAAACCTGACACAGGTGCTCCAGCATGGGAATTGTTCTGGATCATACGAGGCTGAAGGAGTGACAGCAGATGCTGCTTGTGGAGCTGTCAAAATATTTAATCCTTCGCTGGAAGTCGTTACCCAGGGTGTCACCGCGAAGCAGGAGATCAAAAGAGCACAGTGAGTATGTCAAAATAAAACCAGAGATGAAGGGAAGCAGCTAGTAGGGGATAATTACCAAACAAAATGCAGAGATCTCTTCATCTCTGGAAATTCCCTGTGCTGTGAAAAGGTACGAGGTGGAAGTCAGGGGCTGCAGTGTCTCCTGCAGCCTGCAGAGCCGTGCTGCTTCCCCTTGCACGAGTCTGGCTCACTGCTACAAGCACCGTTTGGTGTTGGGACACGAGTTCCAAACTCAAAACTGTTTTGTTGGATTTATATTATTTCTTTTTAGGGCTCCTAAAATGCAATCAGTCTCTTTTTCCTTATCAATTCCTTTGGGGTGAGCTCTGCATCTCCCCGCCAGGCAGGAGGATGCTGCAGGGCTCTCCTCGCTGGCAGTGCCTTTATCCCCTGCTTGCTTGCTCTTGTCTCTCTGCTGCATGCACGCCCACTTAATCCCCAAATGATTTCCTTTGGATGAGCTGTGCTGGCAGGGCACGTGGATTTTGCGTTGAGTATGGAGCAAGGCAGTGCTGAATGATGCCCACATCTGCACGTGGGGCGTTAATTCCGGAGCACATCCACAACATCCACATCTGCAGCATCCTCCTGGCCTGAGCAGCTGTCACAATCCCTCTTTCTCAGGGATACAGGCTGGGATTTTGCTGCTGCCCTCCTGGCTGGCTCCCTGCCTGCTCTGGAAGTGAGGGAGAAAACCATGGGATGCTACTCCAAAGTGTTTCTTCTGTAATTGTCACCTGAATGCTGCCTTTTTATGCAAGTGGAACATTTTTAGGCATTTGCCTGGTGGTTTTCATTTTTCTCTCCTGCCTGTGGGTTTCTTATCTGTGATAGAGAGGAGCTATAAAACCATTACAAAGCTCACAGTAGGTTTTGGTGCTGAGTTTTGGGTCTGAATCTGCCTTGTAAGCCCTGAATCAGGGATCCAAGGCAGGAGATGGACTTGGACTCCTCCCTCCTATCTCTGGTTCCTTTCAGGCACTGAAAAAGCGCACTGGAAACTTCCCATGAGAAGGAAGATCCTCAGAAATCCCAAGTCAAGTGCTCCCTGAGCTCTGGAGACCTGTTGCTGTAGCCTTTGGTCTGCCGTGGCACAGCAAATCCTAGAGGGATTAGGGATCTGAAGGGTTTCTGTGTGGGAGTCTGTCCTCGGAGTGTCTGAGGCATCTGTGTATGGCATAGGGGATTCATTACTTTCCCCCACCAATCTGCAAAACCCATCTTAAAGCTGGGGTGTTTGCTTTCCCTGCAGAACGAGCACGGGAAGTCCCCTGGGTGTGATGTGAGATGCTCCCACAGCTGGCACGGGGAATGTTGATGTTGGATGAGCAACATCCAAGCAGTCTGGGTAAATGAGATGTGGCTCGTTCCCAGCGCTGGCACAAGATCTGTGCCAGAGCAGAAAATCAGAGGGAGAACCTGCTGGCTGCTGTGGGAGAGCTGACACCCAGATTGTCTTTGGTGGCCTGAAAATGGGCATCTGGTGGCATTTGAGACGCCTCTCCTGCTACAGCATTGAGATGCACACATTTTTTGTGCCATCTGAATCCTGCCTCTGATAAGGGATTTGCAGGATGGCAAATACAGAGGTACACGGTTGAGGGGAGAGCAAGGCTCACCCCTGCCCACATCAGCATGGAGGAGCTGTGCAGAGGTCTCCTGGAGACCTGGAGGGAAGCTCGGCCCTAAACCCACAAGAAACTCAAGAGTGGGGAGCTGGAGAAATGCTCAGAGGTGTCTCAGTCCTGTCTGGATTTGCGCTGGGTAGAGTGGTTTTTGGAAATGCCTTTGGTGATGGCATTCGTTGGTTGAGCTGGTGGCAATCCTAGGGGTTTGGGAAGTGGAAGAGGGGAGTTCCAGGTGGGGAGATCCTGGGGGCTCCAGCCATCTGGGACCAATGCTGGGAAGAAAGTGGAGATGCAGCATGGGGATCCTGGGGGAAAGCACGTTTAATAGATGTGGCAAAGAGGAGGGGTAGCCGTACAGGGGCAAGGATTTTGTGGTAAGGAAGCGATGTGCTTTGGAAATGCTGTGTCTGGGAGAGAAGTTGGGCAGGATTTATCTAAGGCTTAGTCAAAACCAACAACAAAAACACCCAAAACACTGGGAACTTGAGATGTGTAAGCTGCTTTGAGGCCGGGGATTTTGTCCCTTCGGGGTTCTGTTTCTAGTGGGTTTAGCTTTGATATTTAATCTTTCATTTTCTTTTCTTTCAGACTTTGTGCCTGTGTTTGAGGTTAACCCCGAGCCACGTATCACAGCGTGCTCGGGCAGATCCTGTTGGAAGTGGCGCTCGGTCAGGAGCTCGGGTTTGGGGGTGAGGCGGGATGTGGGACCCCCGTGAGGCCTCACAGAGATCACCTCTCATCATAACGATGAGATCTCCTTGGGAAAACAGCCTTGGGATTAGAAGGGAGGTGCTCCTGGACTGATTTCCAAAGCCAGCTCATCCTGCCTCTCCTTTTTTTGATGCAGATGCCCACTTCTACGGATCAGAGCCCACGCTGGGTGGTGAGGACTCCTGGGAGGCATCGAAGGGTCACCCACGATGACCCCACTGATGAGCCAAGCAGGTTTGTGATCACCTGGGTGCTTTTTGGAGCAGGTCACATCACCCTGCCTCCTCTCCAGGAACGTGGCACCCTGCACATGCAAGGACGGGCTCCGGTGCCCTTTGCAGCTGCCTGCTTTGCACCTGGCTGCTTTCATCTCCCCCCCTTTCTCTGGGGAGAGGCCTCCAGAGCAGGAGAGGGCTGCCAGGTGCTTTCCCATGGAGCTGGAGCTTCGTTGCTGCCTGTCCCGATGACGAGGCCTTTGGGATGGGTTCCTCAGCAGCTCTTCTCCCGTGCGGTTTGCCTGCACTGCCAGCAGCCCCGTGACATAAGGAAGCAACCAGGGCCTGGGATGGAAGTCCCATCTGAGTGTGCTGAAGCCACCAGGTGCTGCAGTGCCTCCAGGACCTGGCATCAGGTGTAAACAATGTTTTTGGAGAGGTGCGTAGTGCAGAATGAGGTGATGGAGCTGGACCTTGATGAAATTTCTCGCCTGGTGGTATTTTCACATCACGTCTCTTTGATGTGTTTGGAGGTGCTGCAAGGAAATGCAGCACAATGAGCTTGGTTTCCCTAGTTTAGGATAAAAGGATAGGAAAAGACCTCCAGAAAGGTGAAGCAGCCTGCTTGGTCAATGGGGTGACACTCGGGGTCATGTCCTCCTGGAACAAAAGTCCTTGGAAAGAGCCATTAGGATCCAAGCAGGTGGGTTTTGTTGCCTATGCTTCTGTGAAGGCAGGTCTCTTCCTGCCCTTCCAAGGAGGGACTGTTGATAAAAGTCCTAAAAAGCAATAGATGGCTTCATATTCCAGGGAATGTGAGTGCTGGCTCAAGGTCCGATTCCCAGCAGCGAGTGGAAGTGACAGTGCTCACCATAACATCCTTCTCACGACAATAAAGGTCGGATTTGGGGCTGTGAAACCAGGAACACTCAGAGCTGAAGACTGCCCACAAATCGCCCCCAGGGCCCTGCTAGGTGCAGGTGTCAGGGAAATGCAGGATGTTGTGTGTGTGCCTGGCAAGTCAGCCCTGTCCCAAGGAAAGGGGCGTGCTTGGTCTGGAACAAAGTCAAGAACCGCTTGCTCTGTCTGCATCACCTCTCGAAGCTCAGCTCTGCACTTCTGACTTCTTGGGATGTCCTTTAAGGTGATTTTTACCCCTGGTTTGAGCAAGGTTCTCTTCGTTGAGGCTGAGATCCTGGTGTACAAGGCAAACTGTTTGAGTGGAGCATGTGGTTACCTTCTGGTGATGTTGGGAGGAAAAAGCAGAGAAAGCACGAGGTCTGGTAAGAGGCTAAATGGGAGGATGTGGTGACAAAGAGCTGGAGGCAGGCTGAATTGGCAAAGGAGAGCTTGAACACCTTCAATGAGTAGGGTCGGGTTGTTGTCCTTGGTCCTCCCTCTTAACAGTGAAGGGAATTGATGGTGAAGGCAATGCTGGAGTGACAGAACAAGCAGCAGGAGGCATGCAGGAGCCTGTGTTGCTTTTGGAATAAATCTGAATGTCCTCTACCAGAATCTGAGCATGATTCTGGGGATAGCTTGCACCAGAGGACTCCTCTCCCTGATTTCAGGTTGTATGGATGCAGTTGGTCTGCCCTTGGTGGCATCCCCCAGGACTCCAAGAGTCCCCACACCAGCACGTGCCGCTTTGCAGCACCTTAGCTCAGTCCAAACTCTTCAGGGACATTTCAGCACCACGAATGGAGCAGAAACATAAGAAATGGTGTTGTCTCCTGGCTCCAGGAAAGCCACAGGAGGTGCAGAGGAGAACCAGCCCTGGGTGATGGGGTGGGGATGTGCACGAGGTGGTCTAGCAGGGAAGATGTGAGCTGCTCAGCACCGCTGGGTCTTGGGTGAATCGCCTTCCGCAGGATAGATGTGGGTGCTGAGAAGGGGAAAAACTTAAAGGGAGGGAGAGGTGGAAGGACAGAAATAGGGTGTAAAGAAGATTTAGAGGATTTGAGGAAAGCAGGTGAGGAATGGCACTCTGCATCCTCTCCTCTCCAGCACACAGGAGAGGATGAGGTGAGAAAGTAACACAAGTGGAGGGAGCGGGTGATGCTAATGGGCCACCTGCCTCTGAGACCTGTGCGAAAAGATGCTGGCAAGGGAAGGGGAAGAGTAAAAAGCAGCAAAAGCTGTGCCTTTACACCCTGGGAGGGGAAGGAAAGCCCCTTGCATTCAGGGAAGCACAAGCCTTGAGCCAGCTGGGGGCTGGAACAAAACGCCTGCTTTCCCACCGCTTCCAGTGGCCGTAACGTGGCCGGGCTTTCTGGCAGCGAGTTCCCCCGTCTATTTGTGAGTGGTGTGAAAAAGCACTAAAGCACTTCCCTTTGTTTGTTTTAAGCCTGCTGCCAGGCTCTCTCGGCACCTTGCAGTTCCTGCAGAGGGGGAAGGCAGGAGGGCGGCTGCTCCCCGGCCCCATTCCCTGCTGCCCGGAGGCACAAAAGCCGATGGGAACCGGCCACGTCTGTGGGAAGTTGCTGCATTGTGGCCATGACAAAGGCTGCTCGCCCCCGTGCCTCGAGCTGATGTGGTTCTGGCTTCTCCCAGCCTCGCTGCAGGTGCTGCTTTTGGTCTCCATCGCTTGGAAAATTCATCGTAAGGAGCTGGGCGCTTGGCTTTGGGGGCTTGGTTTTGGGCATTTGGTTGTGCACTTGCTGCTGGCTGTCCCCTGCTCCTCCTCCTGGCTGTAGGTGTGAGGAGGCCAGGTTTGGGAAGCAAAGTTCCCACCAGGAACGCAGCCCGGTGACGAAGCACAACCCGCACAAACACCTGGCAAGCGTCCCTGGCCCGGCTTCACACCTCGAATAAATCAAACCATCTTCCTTCCTGCGCAGGCAGCCCCCGAGGAGCCTCTCGCTCCTGCCACACACGTTTTCTGTTCTTTTCAGGAGAAAACGGGCTTCCTCTGGAAAGTTCACAGGACGAAAGCTTTTTATTTCAGACTCGCCCCCTTGACCGTGATTCCGGCCAAGAGCTGGGAACAGGGAACGCCGGTCGCCTCCTGCTCTGACTTCAGGCACGTTTCTGCGCATCTGCTGCTAATCAGGGCTCCACAATGGAAAAAAAATGGGAAAGAACCTCACAAACAGCTCGGGGATAGGATAAATGTCCTCCCAGTGATGGGTTTTCTTTGGCTTTCTGCAGCCTGGTGCTTGGAGGTGGGAGTGACAAGGGTCCTCCTGTCTGTCTGCTGCCCTTTTTGTGAGCCTGTTGCCTGCAGAGAGGTGCAGCAGCCCTCCTACACCAAGCCAGGGGGTCCTTGATGTTAGCTTGCTTTCAAAGCATGATCTTCAGCAGAGGATGAGATTTCTGAAGAGGGATTCATCTAGATTTCCTCATGCAGCTCTGAGGAAATAATTCAGTGCTGTGTGTGCCTGTGGAGGAAAATCACATCGCCTGCAAGGCGACCTGGTGGCCCAATGTCCCCCCACCTTCCTCTGGTTTCTCTTGATGCCACCCAAACCCTTCTTGGCAAGAGCACCACCACCAGGAATGAGCTGTGTGTCCTGCCCTGCCTTGCTGAATTCCTGTTTTTTTTTTTTTTGGGAACTAGGCTCTGTTGGCTGCAGCTCCCTCGTGGTGCCTTGGATAAGATATTTTTTTTAAGCTCATTTCAGCTGCTGAAGAGATGAGTGCTATTAGATGTGCCCTGGGGTGTCCTGCCTGTCCTCTGCTTGCTGGTCCAGAAGGACGTGGGTCTCCTACAGCTTCACAGCCATCTCAGATCCACATGAAGACTCCTTAGCTTGTGAAGGAAGAGAATGGAGGGAAATGGAGCAGGTCCCTAAAATCCAGCGTGATATGGGGAGGTGGGAGGGGACGGCTCATTGACAAGTGGTTTCTTGGAGGAGTTCATAGCTGAGGTTTTGGGGTGCCAGACCTACCACTAAACCATGTCCCGAAGCACCACAGCCACACATCTTTTAAATACACATCTTTTAAATACCACCCACTTTACGTGGATAGAGAGGGTTATGAGTGTTGGTGTGACAGCAAAGCACTCCTTTAGTTCTCCAGCACGAAATCTGGTGGTTTCCAAAAATGCTCTCAAAAACCTTTCCAGGTGTCAAACCCTTTGTCAGCTCAGCGAGGCAGGAGGAGGAAAGCACGGTGAATTCAATGGATTTTTTTTTATTATTATTGTTGTTGTGTGTGTATACAAGTATGTACTTGGAAAAGAAGCCTCCCATTGTGTTACCTCGGAAGAGGGAGAGCTCCACGTGCCTACGGGAGCTGCAGCTCAGCATCCTGCTCCTCTACAGCATTTCCACGTCCCTGGGTGAAAGTTGAGGCGAGGCTGCCAGCTGACGTTATCGAGGAGGAGGAGGTGGGGTTTTTTTCTTCATCCCAAATGCCCCAGTGACACAAGATCTTTTTGTTTTGGAGTTACATCAAGAGCTGCTTCAGTCTCCCCGCTGGCGATGGGGGAGATTTCACAGCAAACCCCTTTTAGGGTTGCTCTTGTCAACAGCAGAAAGCAATGAGGGGGAATACCGTGTTTTGTCACTGTCAAATCTCGCCTAATTCTAGAACAACATATTCCCTGTCTCCTCAGCTAGTAGCTCAAGTGATTAACTAATTGTTGGTGATTTATGGCACCTCTCGAGCTACTGCCAGGGTTGCTGGGCTGACATCACCCAATGGTTCCCCTCCAGAGCCAGCAGATAAATGATGCTGACTTGTTGCTGCTGTTTTGGGCAGGCTTTGCTGAAATATCAGTGGGGTGAAGCACAGCTAGGATGGGATCCAGGAGCAAGCAGAGGCTGGGTGTGCTCGCCCATGCCTTCTTCTTCCCGCAGTGGCTCTCCAAGCTCTGGAGTGGAGCAGGAACTTGCGCTTCCCAGCATTAATCTCTGCCATAGCGGTTTCCAGAGGAAGGGAAAAAAAAGATAAAGAAGCCAGTAGCTGCATGCTGCAGGTGAGATCAGTCACACCCAGCAGCTGAAAAGGCCTCGGGCTATGAGAGAACATCTTAAAATTGGCTCCTCCTTGCACCTCCTGGCTGCGGCTGTGGAATGCCAAAGAGGTGGCGTTGCTTTTCCTTCACCTCTGGGTCTTCTGCCCCAACTGTGACCATGAACCTTCCTGTAGGCAGGTCTCTGGTGGTTTTGCCCTTGTTGCAGGTATTCTTCCTTTCCAGTTCTGTGTCCTCTGCAGAAATCTTCCCCCCCTGGAGCTTGAACACCTTCTGAAGCAAGTCTTCTGTCACTGCGGTGCTTCCAGCTGCTTGGGGATGAAAGCAACATCCCGGCAGAAGTTTCCTCAAGCTGCTCACTTCTAAACACACCTCGCACCCCGCCACGGTAGCTTCGTCCTCAGGGATGCGGGGCTTGAGTCTCGTGGGGAAAGGTGGTGGCTGTAGGATTATCATTGCTGTGGGAACTGATAGCTCCTCCTGCTATGGGCACAGGTTATTTTGTCACCCGGGGTGACTTCTCACTGTGCTTGAGCCCAGGGATGTGAGCTTAGGGAGAGCAGGGATGCACCAGCGAGGGGGCTGCCAAATGCTCTTCTTGCACTTAGGGTTTAAAAAAAAAAATTGCTTGGTCTTGGCATTTTTTTTTTTACTTTAATTTTTATTCTTTGAAAGCAAAGGACAGAGAAGAAATTGGGCTAGTGAAGCAAGAGCCTTCCAAGTCAGTGGAAAGCTTATGGACACGGACATTTCAGCAGCCAAAGGCTGTTGGTGATGTCCTAGGACCTGCCTGTGGTGGCTCTCCTGCAGATATATGGGACATACGCAGATTTTTAAGATGTTTAAGATATCCTATTATGTATCAGCAGGCATCCTGCGGGCAGGCAGCTGACCCCTGAGTCCCAAAGGCAGCGCTCTGCCATCAAACTGCCGGGCTGAACTCCTCAGCTGCTCGTGGTGGCCTCGCATCTCTGGAAATGGTGCTTTGGGTCAGGTCGGAAGAAGCAGCAGCAGAGGGAGCTGGTCGGCCGGTGGATGCTTGAAAAGCAGCGCTTAAAAGATGTTCTCGTTTTGCCGAGCAGGATTTGTGCCCTGCTGCTGTGTGCTGGGTCAGGTCCTGCGTGGTGCCCTTGCCTGGAGCTGCTGAGGCTCACATGGAGAGGAAAGGTCTGACGCAGGAGGTGTTCTTATTTCTGTCTTGTACAGATCTGCAGGTCCGGGTGAAGTTTCAGCTCTCCTGGGAGGTTGTATCCTCCAGGAAATCGTGCCCAAATCTGCTGGATTTCCCAGAAAGAGGCGTTTTGGCTGGTCAAGGAGAGGGCTGCCTCACCTCCTCTGGATCGGGCTGGGGTTTCTTCACGCAAAAAAGCGTTCCAGCTAAAGGTGCTTCTCTCCTTTGCAAGCAAAATCTTTTCAGGATTATTGCTCTCCTTCTCAGAAAGCTGATCTTGGCGACAGCCCTAATTTCACCTCACTGAAATTTGCTTTGATTTTTTAAAATTCATTTTTATTCTAGGGTTTTAATGGTTCATTTTAAATTACAGGGTGGCAGGATTGTTCCACAGCTTAGGAAGATGTCGGTGGCTCAGGGAAAAGAAAAAAAAAATGCAGTCCCCTGATTCTGCTATAAATTTGGGTGATCTTAGTAAATTTTAATGGATTAATCAGTGATAGTCTCTTGAGGTTTATGTCCTTCGAATGAATGGCCATGCAGACAAGGGACTTCAGGATCACTTAAGGATGTGGGTCTACGCCTGGCCTTGCTTTCTCTTTGTGTTATCACTGCCCATAGCTGTGAAAAGAGGATAACTGCTTGTCCAGGGAGGGGACCTGTCATTTGGCAAAGAGGCCCCCAGGATGGATTTTGCTTTGGAGAGACAGTTCATGCTGTTAAGCCCACGCTGAGCTTCCTGCACGTCTCCCTTTGCAATTCCTGCACTTACAGAGGGCTTTCATCTGCTTAAATTTGACTCCCTTTTTGGGGTTTTAGCAGGGAAAGCAGATCAATGGAAGCTGCATCACCCCCTTCCCCTCTCCTCTCCCCATTCCCCTCCGTGAGCTCGTTAGGTCGTGCCACGGGCAGAGATCCATCCCAGGATATAACTGCTGGGGATGCTGCCTTAAGTGTCTCCTTCAGACGATGATGAGACTCGAGTGCTTCTCCTAATGCAGTCACAATTCAGAGTTAGTGGTGTGCTCTTAACTAATAAACTTGCAATTGCAGACCAGAATAGAAAGCTGTGTAATCATGGGAAATTGCTTTCTGATGGGTGAAAATGCACGAGGCTCGGGCTGAGATTTCTTTCCCTTCCCCCTTCTCTATCTCTCCGAAGGCAGAAAGCTGCTGGGAATTGGGGGATTTTGCACGGCGGGGGCTGCAAGGAGGGGAGAGGGAGGCAGGAGCAGCCTCCAATTGCTATAACGATGTCTCTTCTCGCAGCACTCGGCATTCAAATGGGATTTGACACTGGTTATCCTTGCAAATTATGGCTCTAGGGCAGATAGGAATGAGATCTCTCCGAGGCGCTGTGAAAGCTGCTGTGCTCTGGGCTTCACTCAGCACGTCTCTAAGCCTCCTCCAGCGGTGCAAGTCCCCGTTCCCCTGGAAAGGATGGGTCTCAGCATCCCGAGGAAAGGTGCACCCTCTTTTCACCCACATTTTCTGATCCATTTGTGCTTCATCGGTGTGTATGTGAGCTCCAGAGAGAGTCGGGAGAGCCTGAACCCAGTCAGAGACCTCCTTGTCTTCAGGAACATCTCCCTGTATGCCTTCCTGGGGTCACACAGCTGACGTGAGGCACCGCAGGGAGTGAGGAGCCCGTGCAGCACAGCGCCGAGCCCTCTCCGAGGGGACTTGAGGGCGAGGAGCACAGCGGGGTCACCTCCATCCCCGGCACAGAGCAGGAGGCTCTGTCCTGGTGTCGACCCCGGTGACTGCAGAGCGAGGGCCAGGATGTTCCCCGGGCTGGAGCCGAGCCGTGCCGAGGTCAGATATCCAGGGGCAGGAAGAATAATGTGTCCCCAGGGATGTTTGATAGACCGATGGCTGTGTGTCCCTAACGCCTGGCCCCACGAAGCACGTTGATGCAGCACACGTGCAGCAATGAGGGTGCCAAGCTGCTGCAATTCATGTGCTCCTAGCTCCAGAAAAGCCAAATCTTAGATCCACGTTTCCCCTCTGCGAGGGCTGCCCTTAATGGGGCCCTCTGTGTTTGTTCTGAATTATTCATAAATAAGGGTTCTTCCATACACACCCGTTTTGCTTATCCTGCTTCGGATCTGGCGTCTTACATCTCAGGCTGGCTCCACTAATTAATTGGCACCTATGAGATTAGGAGGTGAAAAAATCCCTCCAAGCCCTTCTGAGAGCTTTGTATCTGAATTCACAGACTAACCAAGGACTGAGGTTCTGCCTACTATTAATATTCACTAAATAATATTTATCCTTATCCTTATCCTCCTCCTTTTCTCTCTCCTCTTCCTTTGTGCTGTATTACCTTAAGATGAGGCCATCACATCAGCATCGCTCAGAGCTCCCAGAACAGGCTTTACAGACAGAATAAGTCACTATATATACGTCAAACAACCTGATATACTTCAGTAACAGAAATAAAGGTGATCTCCCCATCAGTTTGGCTGAGTGGGAGGAATGCAAAGTACTGGGAATGGGCTTGGAGGTAGGTGGCTCAGCCCCAAATGCTCACTGTCTGTGGGTGTTTCCATGCCAGGATGGCCACCTTGTGGGGTCAGCATATGGCTGATACCTTAGGGATGCAGAAGACCTTGCCTCCCGACCAGATGGATTTTGATGACTTGAATTTTCCCTTGTGTTGTGTTTCCATCCAAGGCAGAGCAAGTTACAGCCACGGAGCCTGGAGAGCTCTGGGCTGTGGGAAACTGCAGCCAGGCCTGAGGAGGAGCTGATGAGGAGGCAGATGAAGGCTGGGCTGAGCTGGGAGGAACACATCGTTCCCACCAGGCCTGCAGGGACGCTTGGGGGAATTGTAGAGCACACAGGAGCTGTGGGATGATGTGGTTGTGAGGGCAGAGGTCTTGGACAAGGGGGAGATCCCCAGCGGCTGCAGCTCCGTGCGTGCTCCTGCCTCTTCCTCTCGCTGTGTTTGGGCTGGAGAAAAGCCTTGAGTGCAGGAGGACCCTAAGCTGAGGGGCTGGGCCCACGTCCTTGGACCATTCCCATAATAATGTTGGCTCTCAGAGGGTCTGAGTGAAAATTTGGGCTCTCTGGGCCTCACAGATGAACCACAGCCCCCAGCCTCTCCTGACGGGGCCTCTCTGCAGAGCTCTGGGCCGCTTCAGCCCTCGTAGCAGCTAAAGAGTAAAAAGGGCAATGAAACCAGCAAAAATGAGCACAGAGACCAAGATCCAGGCCTCCCTGCTGCTTCTGGCCTGACAGGGAGCTGCAACAAACCCTTTTATTTAGAAGGGAAACCCACACAGCTCTCTGCCATTCGGCCCAAACACAGGCCCCTTCTCATCCCAGGGCTGCTTGTAGGTGGGAGGAAACCACAGCGGCCGAGCACAGCGTTTTCCAGGGCACATCCCATCCCTTTTTTCCAGGGGTGAATGGGTAAAAGTGGGTGGGAAGGCAGCCCAGAGCGTGCTGAGCTTCCTCATGTAGTTCCTATTAGGGTAAGCAGGGCCCAGCAGGCAAAGGGAAGGGGTGAAGGCATTGCCTGCCTTCTCTTTTCTGCTCCTGAAGAGGGGGTTTTGGCCCTCCTCCACGTTTTGTGGCAACCTTCAGGAAGTCCTGGATGCACCTCCACAAACCCTTTGATTTTTAGCCCAAAGAACACCACGAGAAGGAGCTCGTCCTCATGGGTGGGTCAAGGAGAAAGCGCCAGGCTGTGAGCCACGCTCCTCCTCGTGCTGCGTATGTGTCGGAGCAGAGGGCACAGCACTCATTTCACCTTCCCCAAAGTCTGTGACGATGCTCTCAGAGGCATGCTCACATGTCGAGATGCTATTACCATCGCCCACAGCTCCGTTTTTCCCAGCTCTGTGGCTTTTCCCCTCTGTTCTCCACTACAAAGCCGCTCGGAGCCCGCAGCCACCACTTCAGTACCTGGCTCGTCACGAGGAAAGTCCCTCGGAAAACCACTCCTGCCCTCTGAACACGTTTCCGTTTGATCTGCTGCCTTTTCCAGGTTTCACCACTTACAGAACTGCTCGTTATTTTGGCTATTTGGTGCCAGGGCTGCTTACGAGGGATTTTAGGTCCCCTCTGAGCCAACAACACGGGGATTCAGATTTCTCGCTGGCGTGCAGGGATCGTACCAGGAGGGCTGGCGATGCCAGGAAATTCCTTGCATTTTCTTGGGCAATTTGTTGCCCTGTGCCTCCTTGCTGGAAGGGGCTCTGACACTGCCTTTGTTTGTTGCGGCTGCCGCAGAACAGAGCTGTTATCGTTCCTCTCCTCCGTGGGTGAAGCTCGTTATTGTGGAAAGGGGGCTGGAGTTTTCAGAAACCTGCTGAGTTGGCATCTTGGGTGCCAATGTCCAGGGCAAGCACAGCCCAAGCTTTTTGGGCTCTCTAATGGGCAGGACACACCTCTGGGCTTGCAGAGACACTCGGGCAATGGTTCAGTTCCCTAAATACAGGTTTCCAGTGATGTTTTAGATACGTTTTATTCACCCCCTCTCCAAGTGGGCTTGGCGGTAGCTACATCTCCAGTCCTTCTACCAGAGTAGAGATTTGGGACCTGCCGTGGGAAGGACACGCTCCCAACACAAAATTTTTGGAAGTGATGGAGTGGAAGGAGCAGCATTGCCACGTGCCCCTCTTGTGGGCTGTGTGCAGGCAGGGCAGTGATCGATGCGCTCTCCGTGCCGGTGGTGGGGGAGGCTCGTTGCATTTGGGTTCCCTTCAGCAGCCGGGGTAAACCTGGCTGTTAGCAGGGAGAATAAATGTTGCTAAGCAACACGTGATCCCAAATCGGCTCCACCAACCCTGTGGGTTGATGAAGGAAAAGACAAAAGGCTTGCGAGCGGGGATGTGAGCAGGGAAAATCAGCCCCCGGTGAGGAGGTGGAGGACAGCACCAGCCCCGGTCACCCTGGGGACAAGACTGTCCCTGTCCCCATGCCCACTGGGGAGCAGGGGGAGCCCTGGGCTGGCCGTGCTGAGGTCCCCAGGGATGTCCTGCCCTGTGTGCTGCCAGGTTTTGCCCTCCTGGCTGGCTGGAGCTCCGCTGTTATCATCTCTGGTGCTAAAAGCCAGAGGCACCAACGTCAGCACAGAGCTAGCTGATATCCAGAGGGGTTTTCCCGGGGAGGGATAACACAGGAATTGGCCTCTCCTGCTTTTTCCGCTCCCCTCGGATAAGAAAGCCGCCTCTCCTTGTTGCCCTAAGCTCACAGCAGCTGCGGGATGAGCACAAGGGGTCACACATGTGTCCCTGGGCTCCTCCACGAGCCCGAGCAGTTTCCTGCCCTGCCCCGCTGATATATCTTCAAGCTCCTGGCTGATGTCCTTAAGACCTCACCATCATTCCTGTCTCATTGCAGCAGACATGCCACCGTGCTCATCGACTCCTTCCCACGCAGATGTTAGGCAGGAGGGAGCGTGCTTTGAGCCTCTCCATCCCCACCCTGCTGCTGACTCCCTTTCTCCATGCCCTTGCTGCTCAGATGCCTGCGGCCAAACCCGGTGGCTGCGATGGTTTTTAGCCAAAAGGAGCAAAGCGGGCACCAGCTCAGCCATGGGGGCTGTCCCCAGAGCCACCGAGGGGCCAGGAACTCTCACACTGGAATAAAGAACAGAAGGGAAAATCACAATGCTCCGTGTGCCAGCCCAGCCCTGCCATGGAGACAGCATCCCTGGGCCCAGAGGTTCTGGAGAGCAGAGAAAGGTCTGGAGAAGGGCAGCGAGGCCGGCAAAGGCATGGAGTGATAATCCCCTAAGGAACAGGCGGGTGAGCACGTGTTGGCTTCCAAAAGGTGGCTGTGGGAAGACACGAGGGTGGTGTAGAAAGTCATGAGTTGTCTTGGGGGGTGGAGGCACATTTTTAATGCACAGCAGGGGAGCTCTTGCACTCTGAGCCGACACAGTGTTGCTGCAAATGCAGAATGAGATTTTCTCCCCGTGGTTTTCGTTGTGCCTCGGTTAACCTCTTACCCACGTCTGCATCCACAAGGGGAGCCTCTGTGGGACGAGTGGTGGCCACTAGAGGGTGGCCATGCCCTAGCTGGCCTTGGGGACAGAGCCTTGGGGACCTCCTTGGGGTAAAAAGGAAAAAAAGTGGGAGTCCAAGAGGTCAAGTAGTTGTCTAGGCAAGGCCAAGAGTAATGCCCCAGCTGTGTGCCCTACGCCAATCCCTGTGCCCTCCCCTGCTCTCCCGCTGCGGATATCTGGTGATAAAGCTGGTTTCCTCGTTCGTCCTCCTCCTGTTTTGGCTCTGCACAGGAGCTGGCTGTTCTCTTCCAAGGAGACTTTGGCACACAGCTCATTTCTTCCTTCCCCTCCAGCAGCCCCCTTCCTGCCCCGGCACTGTGCACAGCCAGACCTGTCCCCGCTCCGTCACCCCGTGCCCCCTCCTGCTTTGGCTCTCCCTTTGCTTTAACCTCCCGCCGGCTTCTGGTTCTCCTCCTCCTCGCAGCCCAAACACGATTTTAATCTTTCCCATCTGAAACAACTCTCCTTCAGCTCTGGTTTCCTCTCCAGCTCGGTCCGATTGCCACTTCTGTGCGCGCACTGTGCCAAGCCCCGGATCGTACCTTCGCTAAAACATTGGCTGGGGTCTGACAAGTCCTCGTGGATTTTTTTGGGGTTGTGCCCAGCACAGCTAATCGCTTCCTCCTGTGCTGTCCTCGTGCCTTTTCTCCGAGCCTGAGGACAGCCCCGTGTCTGCTGACACAGTGAATTTGGCCCATCCTCGCTTCAGCCAGACCTGGGTGTTGTGCTCTGCCTGAAAATATTGCTGGTGCTCCCTGTGCTGTGCCCTTCCCGCTGCTCGGGGGAGAGGTTTGCCATGCCCTGGGTTGGAGTTTGAGTGAGCCTGGGTTACGGACTCTCTAATTTCAGCATCTCTTTTTGCTGGAGCTGTGATATCGGCCACTGCCAGCTGCCCACGGCCAGGACCTGCTGGAGGTTTTGTGCTTCAGCCTGAGCCTCTTCAAGGCTCGGCTGTGCTCATCAGAAGGGCTGGCCGTGTTCGCACGCCCCTAGCACATCGTGGTCCCGTGCTCTGAGCAGCCCTTTGGGGGCCCTGACCACAACAAAGAAGCAGGGACAGGCATGAAGCCCTCACACCAGCTCAGGAAGGCTGTGATATCTGTGATCAGAGGCAGAAAATACTCAACAAATCCTCTTAACACTCCCCACCTCCCCGGGCTGTGGGCTGGGATCAAAAGGAGCCTGATTTGCTTGGCAGTGCTTCCGTGCCCTCCTGCCTCGGCTGTCAGAGCTTCCTCGTGTTGCCTCGTGTGATCCTGGGCAGGTTCCTCCCTCTGCTGACTTTGAAGGCACCAGCAGGCACGGATGTTTGCCCGGCGAAGCTCGTGTCCCTCTGAGATCTGCTCTGCCCCTCTCCATCGCTTCCTCGGCGCCTCGGGAGCTGGAAACGGTTCACCCAGCACCTGGGGTAGCACAGGTGGAAAGGGAGAGGGGGGAGAGGTTCTCGGAGGATGCTGATGGTCCCTGCACGGCTTTATCAGCACCCTGGACCTTTGTCACCCACGCATGCCCTCGTGGGAAGGAGCTTCAGAAGCTCCTGGTCTCTTTTAGGGAGCATCCCGAAAGGTGGCTTGCTTGCCTCAGAAGGAAAGTGAAGTTGGAAAAGGGTCAGGTGAGGACACCAGGATGCTCAAAAAGCTCTTTA